ATAAATAAATATTATAAATAAATATTTATAATATTATTAATAATATTATTTATAATATTGTATTATAAATAATATTATATATAATATTATATGATATTATAAATAAATATTTTAAAAATTGTTGTTAAATTAGTGGTAAAAATAAAACATGCAATATTCAAATCGCAGACGAAACATGCCCTCCATCGAACAATCTCTCGAGACAGAGAATCGCTTTGTTATTATCCTTTCCCAACTAACAATAAGTCAATAAATACCGTATTATCGTTCATTTCCATATAATCAAATATTAATATTATTAATCGTAGGAAGAATACTATTAATCGTAGAAAACTAATGCGAGCCAGCACACGTTGCTGGTGTGTAAAAATACAATAATTTTTATTTTTACAAATGAAATAGAATTACAGACGTTTCATCTCTTATTATTGGTATATATTGATCATCTTCAATGTAAATTTGAAAAAGTTAATTGAGAAAATTTAAACATATAATGTTCGCTTACTATTTCGTCAATAGATAAAATATAAAAGTTGTCTGTCGTATTTTACTGGATGTTCAAACAATTATATTATCTGCAATATACAATAACATGAAAAATAATTCTTAATAATAATAATAAAAGACTTTTAATAATTAAAGAACTTAAAATACTAATACAAATATTTAAAAAACTGGATAAATTTACATTACATATTCATGATGGTTAGATAATTTAAAACATGCGTACAGTAAGACATTTCAAGTGTGTCAAGAGCGTCAACTTTTCTATTGAAGTACAATGTTTATTGCAATTGAGAAAGAGTTTTTGTCTTCCTCCACATAATCTGGAACGCATCACTATTGAATTCATCAAGCATATCGAAAATAATATAACTAAATTAAAAATTAATAACAAGTATTCTTTAAGAAATAAGTTTTCCCTTAATTTTAAAAATTTGATTAATACAATAAGTATAGATAAACTCATTTTTGCCTCGCTAAAAAAGACCAAATTTTTATTATGGATAATCCACAAATAATTTTAATACGCGCCGACAAAGGATGTAGCAGTAGCTCTTGACAAAATTGATTATATAAATAAAATGAAATTTTTACTTTCGGATACTGACACTTATACTATGGTAAAACGCAATCTTTTAAACAAGGTATTATCTGATTTAAAAGATTTGTTAAAAATCTGAAAAAATCGAGAATTAGTTTCTAATCATTTTACTTATCATTTTTTAAATTCAACAAATCCAACATTGCCCAAAATACATAAACAGGCCAACCCGTTACATGTTATAGTTCCTCTATAGGCAGTCTCTTGCAAGCTTTCTACACAAAATTTTGGATAACAACTTAGAAAAACCTTGTAGTTAATATAAAAAATAGTTTTTAACTTGTTTTTATCTTGTTAATGATCTTAATAAAGTAAATTTATCTAACTCTGTGTTGATGTCATTGGACATCTCACTTTTTCCAAATGTATCTATAGACTTAGTGATTAAAAGCATTGATCGACATTGGCACTTTCTTAATAATAAAATTAATTTAT